AAAGGGACTCTGTGTAGATTTGTAGGTATTTTATTATCTGAAATCAATATTTTTATTCACAAATATGTCCTCAATGGTGTACAAATACCTCTGCAAATTATCTGACTTATCCTCGTAAATGAAGAATTTATTATCTTTATGTACATGGGACGGGTAGGTTCACGGAGGCTTCCATGTCGTTCCGCCATCTTGAAAAACTATAATAGCAGAGAGGGTCAAAAAGTACTACCAGCCAAACGCGTTTCCACAACGCGTTTTCGTTCAGACTCAGAGCCCAGAGTCCTGCACGGGTCCATTTTTGGAGACCCGTACCCGCAAAGTTCAGCACCAGATCCGACCTATCACCCGTGATAATATCAGAATTAAATCCACACCCGCCCAGACCCGTTAATATTTGGCCCGTTACCCGACCCGTGCCCGCGATAAATCAATCACACACGCTAAAATCATTCCAATTAAAGTGCTTTATTTTTTATCTCACAGACTCGCACCTCTCAACATCGCAACAGCCTAATAGGCCTAATGAAACAGGCAAAATTAAGTGTGCTTTTTTTTTGCGCCATTCAAATACACAATCGGCACCTAAATAGGCTAATGAACCAATAACATAGCCCCTGTACTGTAGCTACACATAGACCTATTAATGGAAAAAAAAAAGAACAAAAAAATATATAACTGAGCCTGTCGCTCACAAACAATAGCCTATAGGCCTATGCATTTACTTTTCCTTTAGGTTACTGTGCAGGAAAAGGATATCGTCCACAGTCCCAGGTTTAAGTTGCGTTCTCCGTTCTTGAATTACAAATCCAGCTGTGGAAAAGTCTCTCTCACTAACAGCGCTCGATGCTGGGATGGAGAGAACATTCCGCGCAATCATTGCCAGGTTTGGAAATGTTTTCGCATGCTCCTTCCACCACAACAAAACATCGAAAGGATCCCCCTTGGGTGGCTTGAACTCGATGTATGCAGAGACCTCGTCCTCGGGCACAGTGTCATCGCTGGAATCCTCTACGTCTGACAAACAATCAACTTTTGAAACCAAACGAACTCTCTTCGCAGCTGGGCCCGCCGACATGCTGCTGTGGCCTGGTAGACTTTCGCGTTTTTCCTCGAGTTCTATTTAAAAGAAATAGACACATGGATGTATTTATTTAAACAAAAAAATAATAATAATTTTCCCATTAACAATAACTGTAAATGATTAAAGACAAGGAATGGTGGAAGTTCTGAATTTCAGTATAGCCTAAGTAAAAATAACCAGAGATATCTTTTTTCTAGTAGACTAATAGTAGATAGAAGTACGTACCACAATGAAAACCCAAGTAAAAAGTACAAACTTAAGTACCTGATTTTAAATGTAGTTTAAGTATATTGCATTACAATTTATTCTCTTAATGTCTACATTCTAATAGGGCTGTAAAACCGAAATCGCGACACACCCCTATTCGAAATTAACATTAGCCGAAATATAATTGACAAAGCCTTTTTTTAAAGTTAATTTCGTTTTTTGTTAAATTGTATCTTAATTTTGAACAATATTTCATCAATTGCCTAGATTTAATAAATAAAAAGTAGCAGACAATAGGCCTATGATCATGACCGTATCATAATGAACATGGATATTTTTTTCAATTCCTGTTTTGGTGAAAACTGATCATAAAATGTTTTTTTTTTTTTAAATAAGTATTTGTACTTTGTTAAATTGTAACTTAATTGTAACATATTAGTTTGTGATTGAATAGCTTACCTTTCACAAGACGCCTTGCTTCGCTATGAACTCCCATAATGTCACCATGGTCTGTCAGCAGCTTCAGGCTTTTCAACTTTGGATGCAAGAACATTGCCAGCTTGTGCAAGAGATGCAGCTCAAATTTGTCAGTTAAAATCTTGAGGCATTTTTCTTTAAGCGATGAGAATGTCAGACTGTCGGTAGAAGACGGCTGAAGGTGACGTCTGAGGCTCTCCAACCACACAGCTGTCAAGTGAATGGTCGGAGTTTTGGATGCTTCCAGGGCTTTGGTGGCTTCTTTGAATCGTGACAAAAAATTCACAATGTCATGCAAAGTCTCCTTGCTTATGCAGTTTAAACGGTGTTCTTCGTCACGTTCCTCTAGAAGAGCACGGATGGCCTCGTACTGGCTGCTAATGGAGTCCAGCATCGTGTGAAGCGAGTTCCATCGCGTATCCACGGATGCTTTCAGTGTTTTTTGCAGACGATTCTGGAGATGTGACTGCTTAAAATAAGTCACAAGCAACTTAGCGGACTCAATGAGACCAGATACCTCTTCGCCAAACAAATCATCCTCAGCAGGTTTCCCAAGTGTGGTATACAATACGGTGTTCAGGATATGTGCTGCGCAACTCAATCTCGTGGCTGTGCGGAGGGCGGCAACAATGTTTGCACCTCTGTCAGTTACGTACACTAGTTTGGGAAAGAATTCATCTAGTCCAAATTTGCGGAGTGCTTGAACGATGGCTGGCCTGATGTTGTCAGCTGTTTTACGTAAATTGCTGTCCCATTCAGCTATGCAGAGCACTCGCTCCTGCAGTTCCCAATTGCTTTTCATGTAATGTATCGTCACACAGAGATATCCAATTTTTCGGAAATCATCCGTCCACAAATCCAGTGTCACAGCCCCGTTGCTCTCGGTCAATTGTTCCCTCAGCTCCGGAATTATATATTGTCTTTTCTCCTCTGCATATTTAGTGATCCTACGGGAGACTGTAGTTGGATCGGGCAGAAGCTGACGCGCGCCACAAGGCCAGCTCGTGCCCCGGTGTCAATTAAGCCCTGTGCCAGTTCCAAAAATCCATCGCCGCACACAGTCTCAAATGATCTAATGTGTCGGCACACAAATTGCACAGCCAATTGTGTTATCGCCTCCTTGTCTTCCCCTCTTGGAGGTTTGTAGCCTTTGGCAAAGTACCTGTCAATTGTCACACTGGCAACACCTGTGCTCCTGCAAGTCTCGACGTGCTTTCTAAGAGAAGACGTGCCCAGCTTCCGGCTATCAAACGCCAAAACCTTATGGCATGTTTTGCAAACCCGCTTATGATGTTATTTTCCTGATCTCTTATTAAACCACACTTTTTCCACACATCCGATTTTGCTTTTGAAGACTCGTTGTCAAAAATTTTATATACTCCACTCGCCAACTTTACTTTTACTTCTTCCATCCTGCAACGCTCGCTCCAAATGCGAGAAACATCAACCAAAGTCGCACGCACTGTCGCAGTGGTGGTGACGTGATGGGTCAAATCTCATATCGTTCTTTCGTATTTGTAATGGTAATTTAGACATACAAATATTGCGCATATTTATCATCTGCTCTACGACCCGCCCGCAAAGAGTTAATTATCCGCCCGCATCCCCGCCCGTGAATTTTAGGAATGTCACAATCCACCCGTTTTTTCTACTTTTATGCGGGTACCCGCGGGTACCCGGCCCGTTGCAGGACTCTGTCAGAGCCATCGTCACGTCACATTGAGAGGCGCATTCCCTGCAAGTTTAAACGGCTGCATTGCACTCCTATGATTGCTGATTGCTCTTTTGCTCTATTATTTGTAATGGCGGACCATGCCGAGTCACAGGAGAATGCATCCTCCTCGCAAAAAAAGGCCAGACTTGAACGAAAAAGGAAACGTGACCGGAGATTGCAAAAAACAAGGCCATTAATTTTTCCGTCATAAAATTAATCGGATCTGGTTCGATTTTCTGCGTTTTTCGCATCCAGAGCCAGCATTTTGAGAGGTCTTTTGACAATTCAGGGCGGGGGGAGCTCGTCCTCAAATCATTGCACATATGCGCCGTGCTTTCAGTTTCGGTTTTCAATTCGATCAAGTGTTTATGTTCTCTTCTCTATATTGGATTATGAAATTAATAAACCTCCCCTTTCATTCAGATTGAAATTTAGGATCGAATAAGGTGTGATTGAGCAGCCTATTCGATAACTAATGTATTATTTGGGCACAATATATACACAATAACAGCCTAGCTATTCTGTCTGCCCAGCGCTTCCACCGGGCCGCGCGCTTTGGGGGGGGGGGGGTGGGGGGGAGGGGTGTGCGGTGTGTGTGTGTGTGTGTGTCCATACCTGGTCCATACCAGACACACTGCCAGTCTCCGTTTAGAATCGATTGGTTCACAGAAATTGGTGGTCTTGTTTTTAATATGTGGCTCCAGAATCGCTAGCAAAGCATCAAACTGTCCCGCTGACATTCTGAGGTAAATTTTGAATCGCTCAGGATAAATTCGCAACTCCTTGATAAGGTGGAACTCTCCTTCCTCCCGGCGCAATTTCACGATTGGATGGACGTAATATTTTCTCTTTCTACCCTTTTCAATAAGAGAGAGGGCAAAAATCATCCTCACTGCTTGGCGAATCCATTTGGTATTTTTTGGTACTTTTTATTACATAAAAAGTAATGTTAGTAGACCTTCCAAAAATTAAAGCACTGTGTATATAATTTGTATCTTTGATTAATTGTATTTTTGTGTTAGTACTTGTGTCCTATCTTTTGTATATAAAACAATAAAACCCTGCACACTGCTGCATAACAAATAGATTTTTTTCTTCGTTTTGTTAAAGCATTACTTTTTTTACATTTCAAAATATAAAGTTAATTATGTTCTTAATTCTTAAAAAAAAAAAAAAAAAAAAAACACCAAAAAGAACCAATAAGAATACCGTTAAAGTACCGGATCGATAAGCAGCTGGGTGACAGATTTGTGATCGGCGTACAGAGGGAGAAAACCTCGAGTATGCAGATCGCTCTGACCCAAGAGGAGGAAGCTGTAAGTTTTACTGTACAAACTGTTGATTGCTCTCCACCATTGTTTTAAATGTAATAACTCATTGGTCTTTTTTCCGTAGTGCTTGGAGCTGTACTTCAGACGCATCAGGCCTGAGAACATTCAGCCGGAGGAACTCTAAAATAGTTTCTTTGTCTCGTCGTCCGGCGTGGAGGTTCACAGTGTCTCTCGTGCCTGACACAGGTCCATGTGTGTGAATGGATACACTTCTTTGTATCTTGCCTCATCACAGTCACATCACAATTAATATTTCCTTTTTCCTTTCTGCAGGTACAAGCTGGCTCCTTTCTCTGCTCAGTGTGTGCGGAGGGCTGTTGAGGAGGCTGCAGAAAAGCTCCCGGCGCAGCAACAGGAGGCGCTCCACCATTACCTGGCCATCAGCGCTGGTGCGGTCCGGCCGCAGGATGTCGTCGACGCAGCTCTGCTGCTGGAATCATTAGTCAGGTATACATCTCTTCATCCATTACTCATCACAAACAATTAGCACAACAAAAATAGCAAGTTTTCATTCATAATTTTTTGGTATATTATAAACCATGTATTCCTCTCTCATACAGCACTTCTGCAGACGAGACTTCCTCGGCCACAAGCTGTGCCGCTGGACCATCTGGGAAGAGCTTCGCTGAGTTCGTGGAGAGATTTCCTGTTTCGCCGGAGGGTCAGCCGCCATCCAAGAAGCAGCGCGTCGAATCAGGCTTTCCAGATGACCGCGTTTTTTACGATAAGTGGCGGATTACCCAGTATGCCCAGAGAGAGCAATATCTGCTGTGTGAGTCTCTGAATCCATCAATAGAGCATTGACACTCATTAACTCAACACAAAAACTAGGTCATTCATTTACAGCGACTCACATGAGTAACGTTATTTCATTCTATCTTTCAGCACATTTCACAGTCCGCAAGCCTTCGGCCGCAAAGGTGGCACGGCTTATCGCACAGGAGGGATGGAAGGTCAACTGTCCCAAGCCGGAGGACATCGAACGGCTGTGGACACCACCTTCGAAGGCAGCAGTTGAAGATGACAAGTTCATCATTCGCTGTGTGTCTGAGCAGAACTGGTCGGGCATGGCCATAAAAGACTTTGGTGACGAGCGTGGTTTTGGTAAGAAAACCTTTCATTTGTCTTGTAAGGGCAGAAAAAAACAATAATGTAAAATGTACAATTTAGCAGCCAATAACTGCAGCAAGAAATACATTTACATTCTGAACTGTTTGTCTACATGTAATGTTTGTTCATTAATTCAAAAATGTAATGTGTTCTCATTATTTTAGGAGTCGTGGCAACTCAGACTTTTTCAAAGAACGACATTGTTTGCGACTGCCACGGCAAGGTCATCCCAGCTGCACAAGGGAGGGCGATGGTGCAGGCCCAGCATGACGAGGCCGGGTACATGTTCTTCTTTAAAGCCGGACAGAGAGATCTCTGCGTCGACGCCCAGACCTTTCCGTGCGAGTGCCACCCTGGCAAAGACACCGTTGGGAGGAGGATAAACCACTCCACAAAAGCGCCCAACCTGAAGCCCTTTCACTGCAGGTTACGTGTGAATGGGGAGGACAAGGATGTCATCCTCTTCAGGGCACTGAAGGACATCAGTGTGGGCGTTGAACTACGGTTCGACTACGGGGTCAAAAGGAAGTCCTTCCGTGGAGAGGGCCTACACCTGGACTGGCTGGATGGTTGAGAAGGCCTTCATCAGGCTGGAGTGGCTGGACTTTTGATTCCTGTTTTAAGGACTAGATTTTGCTGGACTCTCACAGACCATTTGTGTCACATTTTATGACACTGGGAACTGTGTATGAACTATCAACGTTTTATTTGTCAACTGTGAGCTCGCGAATGAACTATAGATGTCTAGACAAAATTGGGAGCTTGCGTATGGACTTGATGTTCATGTAAAAGGAGCCTCAATAGCGTCTAAACATTGTAGTTTCATGTAAATGGAGCCTCAGTGTGACCAATGAAATAATTGAGTTTGATCTACATCCTGGAGCTGGATTGGTTCTCTGACAACCCGGACTTTTTCAGACTGTGATTTTGCCTGACGTCTGCTTGCCTCTCACAGACCATGTGTGACAAATTTAAATGGAGCCTCATTGTGAACTGACAACCCAGACAGACTGTATTGTAAGTAGAGTAAAGTACTTATTGTAAGCTCACTGTACATTCGTAAAATAACCTGTTGTTTTTTTTTTGTTTTTGTTTTTTTTGTTTACCACAGCAGGATTTTGAATAGGGCGCCACGCACTCTACCCGGGCATCCCAGGACAGTGTCTCCTTCCATCGTCGGCTCCTCAGAGCTCCTTGAGGGATGCTGAGAGCGAGCCAGAACGGGAGAACCATTTCCATAAAGTTACGCATCTCTTTAACCATTCATTCACATATTGCTCACCTTTTATACTACTGCTGAATCAGATCAAATGCATTAATATTATGAACAGCAGCTATGCTAATTATTTCCCATCTGCCTTTCTGCTGTTATCTCGGGAAGCTTGTCCCGAGAAAATAGGGGTTCGACAGCTCCAGTTTGTATCCAGCCTCTCACGGAGACTTCAGATGCCCCAACGCCTGTGATGAGAAGACCAACGCCTGTGAAGAGACGACTCAATGCTGGCGATATGTTATGCCCTTACTATTACATGATTAACTAAATGTATTTTTTTCCCTTTTAACTTTCCTGATATACACTTACTGTAAAGCTTCTATTGAAACAATATGTATGTAAGCCAGACTGAGGCTGGGTTCACTCAAGTTTTTATTCTCCATCCAATCTGATGGAGTTTTGGTTCCTTGCCACTGTCGCCTTTTGGCTTGCTTAGTCGGGGATATTTGTTAATAAAATGTGCAAACAACATGCAGTGTATATAAATTCTTTTATATTGTTAATACTATGTGACGTGTGTTTGACCATGTGATGAGTGTGTTTTTCTTGTGAAAACAGTTTCAAGTTAATAAAGTGTGCAAACAACATGCAGTGTGTCCTCACTTTCTCTGCTGTGCTAAAATGTCTGTATTTAACTCACATCTCAAGCTTTCTTTCTTTCTTTCTTTTTTTTTTGCATCAAATTAAACAGTGAGTTCTGTACTTCTCAGTGCTGATAATCATTAAGCTTTAATTGGTCAGAGAAGTGAAGAGACCACCTCAAACTGTGCAGTGTATGTTATTTTCTGCCGGTAATTTCATGTTTCTCACACCAAAATGTCTTTTATTCTGCCAATTCACGAGATGTTGACATGTATTTTACTTCAAAATAAAGCTGAGTATGTGTCCTTTCATAATCCAACACTTATCTGGCTTTATCATGTTCATAGAGTGAATGAGACCTCATCAGGTTAGCTGACCTACAATTTTTTTAGCGGACCTAAAAAATCTGGGAGTAGTTTACCGTTGAATCTCAGGCCTTTGTCGTCACTGTCTCTGCTGTGCTAAAATGTATTTAACTCAGATTTATTTGTGCTACTCAATCTGTGTTTACAGCGTGTCCTTGGTAAGCATCTATTTACACATTTTGTGAGAGTAGTTTGTGTCAAGTATGGGCAATCAGGGTAATATCATAGAACATGTCACCACAATGGTTAATGCTTCTCATGATTTGTTTTTGTAGAACATTTTGGTCAGCATCCATTGTCTGGGCCAGGCAAACAAAACAGACGAGGGTCCGAGGCAAAAAGGGTAATCCAAGAAAACAATGCTCAGCACCTGGATGGACAAGCAGGCAGGCTAATCTAATGGCAAGGTATTTATTTCTAGCACATCTCATACACAATAGTAATGCAAGGTGCTTTACATATATTTTCTGGTAATGAATGAAAGTCATTTTAAAGGGGTGATGAACTGAGAAATCAAATTTTCCTTGAGCTTTTGACATCTAAGAGGTCATCATATTATAATAATATCCTGTTAGTTTCAGAACTGATAACGTCCTTGTTAGTCCAATAAAAGCTTTTATTGACACCAGCCTCTGAAAACGACTCGTTTTTAAAAGTGGGGAACTATGACGTCAAAGAGGATAAAACACCACCCCCGCAGAAGAAGATCAACGCCTGCTTCAACACGGCCGGTTTAGCCCCGCCCACCGATTCACCCATTACACACATAGCTAAGTAACATACATGTACATGCTGACCTCGTGATGACACTGGATCGAGCTACCGAGCAATACAGAATATTGTGCTGTGCAAGACATTCGCTGCATATCTGGATTCCAATAGGAAAACGAGGGTTCGATCAATGTTAAAAGCAAGTTCGCGAAAGGTTGGTATCTCATGATGAACATTTTACACAATCACACATTAAAAGGTGGTGTAAAAATATGTTAAATTCTTAATACAATTCTGTAAGTGTGTTAATGTCAACCCGAGAAGCGATTAAGCCTTCGTTAGAAAGTTACTGACTTAGTTGCAATTTTGAGGTAAAATGCTCCTGGGCAGTGGGCATGGCCGTGGCTAACCAGTCCGGACCTCGGCCATTTTTTTTTACATTCAAAAATGGAATGGCATGATTGAATGATTATGTGAATGATTAATTAGCCATGTTTAGACCACCTGTGTGTTTGCAATTCATGTTGCAGCGAGAAGCTAGCGCAGTGAAGGGGGCTTGAGAACGCATTGTGAATGAGGGCGCTAGTGTAGCCTCTGTGTTGCCAGATCCACCTAATCGAATGGTGCGGTAATCTTCTGGACCTGTCTTTCGGATTTTTTTTGTGACACTTTAGGAAGTTATTATAGTGGAAAGTTGCATGTTAGTGTTAGTGATATATTAATCTTATTTCCAAAACACAAGCTTTGAAGTAATTTCGAATTGTTATTATATTATTTGTTTGTTTTTCGTAGCAATATCTGGCAACATTTTACTGTCTGCGTTAATAAAAAGCTTATAGACAAACTGCAATTGCATAAGGCAACCACACCAAACGCAATGATCATTGTGATTATCTATAAAAACAATAGCATAATACAGATCTGTATGTTACAGAATAAAATTTGCCAAAATAACCTTACTGGCCAGCTGGAAGACAGCTCATGCTTTGTTAACGTTTCACATAGTCATCATAAATGCAATAATTAAAGTAGTGTTTCTCAACTAGCAATCTATTCAACTAGCAATTTATTTAGACCTACTTTTATTCTGTTTCTTTGCACAAAACTCTCCAGAAAGTGCCATTTAATAGTTAATATAATATATATATATATATATATATATATATATATATATATATATATATATGGTAAATTCCTTTAAAAAATCCCTTCATGTCCATGGGGAAATGTGGGTCCAATAGCCTAACCATTATTATATTACTAATTATTGTGAGGTAATTATTAACCATTATTACCTCACTAGTTTTCAGACCCTGGTTGCAGCCTTGCTGCTTGGTTGTCGGTGTCAAAACTCTATAAGCTGTGATTCAAATATTAAATAATGTTATGTCATTATTTTACTCTTACACTGACTGTTTGCTGCTTCAGTCCAGATTAGTGTTGTATAGGGTAAATTTAGTATAAGGTGTGGAAATTGTAAAGCTGTGGGATTTTTTTATAGAAGATATCTAGAATGTTACGGTAAAGGATTTTCACATTGTAGGCTTCATTTTATGTACTGGTTTTAATGTTGAATAGATATTTCTAAAATTGTATGATGTTTTTGTTGAGTTATTATTACACAATTCTTTTTCTGACCTTTTTCAAACTTGCCCCTGATAAATAACCCAAACTACAAAAAAAAAGACTAAAACTAACACTAAAACTAATATAAACTAAACTAAAACTAAGCATGTTCAAAAAATAGAAACTGAAATAAACTAGCAAACCCACTTTTAAAACTAATTAAAACTAAACTGATTTTGAAAACAAAAATTCAAAACGAAATAAAAATAAAAACTAATGAAAAATGCAAAACTATAATAACCTTGGTTTGAAGCCCAATTCATGAGTCCCGCAAATTGCTCAAAAAAAAAAAGAAAAGTCGGTCAGTCTATATCCTCGAGACCCAGGCAGCCAAACGTTGTGCCTGAACAGGTTCACGTTCATGAACTCATATTTTGGGTGAACTGAACGTATTTACTGCCTGTCCTGATGAACGTTACTGTAAACTCGTTCATTCTGGTGTCTGTGAACGCACGCTCTCGCATTTTATCTTCGTTCAATGGGGTGCCAGATTTCTATAGAGCCTTCCAGGCGAAAACCCGGCTAAAACTCACCGTAAGCAGGGCTTAATATGTAGCGAAAAAACACCCAATCTGGCAACACAAGCCACCAGTCTCGCACCGCGGCCGCCGTCGACAAAGGCGTCATATGATAATTTAAACGGATTTTATAACGAGGTCGGTGAAGATGGGGAAAATCTTACATTTCTGTGCAAACTTTGAACTGAACTAGTTCATTTTAAAATGGGTGAACTGAACTTTGAACTAGTTCATGTAGAAAGTGAACTTCCCCAAGACTGGTTGCCGCTCCCACGTGACCTGCTGACTAGGCTGTTGTCAACTTTTTCATTGTTGTCATGACAGCGCACCTTGTCGTTCCGTGAACCTCTGGAGTTGTGAGTTTAGACTTTTTTTAAAAACTGTTCCTGTGGTGTTGAGCAACTATAATTCCTGTTAATCCTATAATTTTATATTTTTCTTTTATTTAAAGTGAATTAATTGTAATGAAAAATAAATAAAATTAAATAGCTAAAGTAAATCGTAAGTGGAAGTGCATCTGTCAATTCATTGAATGTTCAAAATATTCATTTTATTTAGAAAAAAATACACATTGGTTGGCCTATTCATGAGTATATATCAGCAATTACACATGTTTAGGGAATAGGGCATTATTAATGTATGCGCTAAGGTATGTGCTTTTTTTTTTTTTGAACAATTATTCATGTACAAACAGTAAAGGCAATAGTAACAATTCTAGATAGGGGTAAACCACTATCAGAGTCTGCCCGTGGGGTGGGGGCACCGCCGCGCCAAGCAGTGTCACAAGCACATTGTCCCTCAGAAACATACCCCTTGTTTGCTAGGAGTTGGGCCTGCAACACACAGAACATCCTCGAGGAACACTATGAATCACATATCGAGGAGCTCTCTCGTAAAATCCGTGCTCTTGAAAATCACCAGGATTGGCCTAAAGCTTTTGAGCTTGCTACTAATTGGGCGCATAAGAACTATCAAACATGCATTAGCCAGGAGACATTTGAGCAAGCAGAAAAGATCATTCAATCTGAAATGCCAGGCTCCTCTGGTTGTAAAGCTACAGAGACCTCACGTGCACCCACATATGCAGAGGTGGTGACACAGGGAGAACCATCATCCCGAACCACCACCAGTGTTTCCACTGCCACCACCTCTCTATTAGTGGCACACACCACGTCCTCTAGGGTCACGGAGTATCACGCCGGTGGATGCATCTCATAAAACTATTGAAATTCAGACCTCGCCGAGCTTACTCCAGGGACTCGAGACCACGGCCACGTCTCCTCCACACAGGGGGGATTGGTCTTTTGAGG